ATTGTCTGGTCTTCTTTTATATAAATATACTGTAACTTTTTTTTAGGCAGGGTTTCACTATGCAGTTTAGGCTGACCTTGAACTCGCTTTGTAGCCCAGGCTGGGCTTGAACTTGCAGTGATCCTCCTGCCTCAGGCTCCTGAATGCTAAGATTACAGGCACGCACCACCATGCCTGGCTAATATACTATAATTTTTAACTATTCCCTATTAATGGGTATAACTTTAGAGAAACTCTCAGGGCTAGAAGTGAGGTTCATTCACTGGGGAGGCTCTCATCTAGCATGTGTGAGGCCCCTTCCTTGGCACCACAAAAAGAAAAGACAAAAATGGTCAACATCAGATAATGTGGATGGTGGCTGGGGATTAGTTCAGTGGCTCAAGCACTTGCCTGGTAAATGCAAGGTCATAAGTTCGATCCGGATCCCTGGCCACAAAAACAAAAACAAAACAAAAGCAACAAAACACAAAAACAAAAACAAAAGAAACAAAAAAAAATGGATGAGTGTGATGGCACATGCTTGTAATGCCAGTGCTTGGGAGGCTAAGGCAGAAGAATTGCTATGAGTTCAAGGCCAACCTACACTACATATAAGACCCTGTCTCAGAACAAACACACAAACAAATGAGAAATAATGTGCCACCTATACACAGCAAATTTGTAAATTAATTTGTAAATTAAATGTTGATTTACTTTAAAAGAAAGAAAGAAAAAAAAAAAAAAAAAAAAAGAGTGTGCTAGGCATGGTAGCACAAGTTTGTAACCCCAGCACTTGGGAGGCTGAGGGAGGAGGTGTCTCACATATTTAAAGACATCTGGGCTACATAATCGGTTCAAGGTCAGCTTGAAAAGAAGGAGGACGGGGTGGGGTGGGGGAATGGAAGCGGAAGAAGGAAGAAGGGAAAAAGAGAAAAAGAAAACCTGATAGATTATGGTAGGATTTTAGGATGAATGTCTTTACATTTTGTAGCCAGCTTTCTGGAACCAATGGCTTTCCATTGCTGGTTCAACCAACTGAACACTGAAAAAAACCTTTTTTAAAAAAAATTGTGTCTGGGGGCTGGGGATTTAGCTCAGCGGCATAAGCTCCTGCCTTGAAAGCAGGCAGTCGTGAGTTCAATCCCAGGTATCGATAAAAAGGAAAAAGACAAAACAACCCAATTGTGTCTGTTCTGGCTAGGCATGGTGATGGTACTTGAAATCTCGGCACTTGAAGTGAGGCAGGGGTACTGTCTCAAAAAAGACAAGTCAGAGAAGGCCTATTGAAACTGCTAGCTCTTTGAGTAAAACATTTGCTTTTACACCTTCCCCTGCAAGCCAAGCCCTGTCCTGACCTCTGCTCCTGGGCAACTTTCACTTCCTCTTTCTACTGGGTGAGATTTCCTTTTAGCCAGCTTCTCATGCTCCAGGTATCTGATCTCCCAGAAGTCTGTTCTGAACCAGAAAGCACTCCTAAGATTCTTTGCTCTCCCCACGATGGCAAACACATATTTGTTGTTTGTAAATTTGTTGAATGTGACGACATGCTTTGGGTACTGGAAACTGAACCCAGGGATTCAGGTATGTTAAGTACCACACCCTCAACTCTGATAGATTTTGGGTTTCACTCTCCATCTATTGCCTGGAACACAGTAAGTGTTCAATAAACAAACACCTGTTGATTTTTTTTTTTTTTTTTTTTAGATAGGGCTGGCTTTGAACTCACTGTGTATCCCAGGCTGGCCTCAGACTCTCAGAGATCTTTCTGCCTCAGCCTCATGAATGCTGGGATTTAATGACTATTAAACGAGCTTTTAAAAAGTAACCAAGGGGCTGAGGATTTAGCTCAGCAGCATAAGTGCCTGCCTTCCAAGCAGGCAGTTGTGAGTTCGATCCCTGGTACCGATAAAAAATAAATAAAAATAAATTTTTTTAAAACTTTTTTTTGGGTCTTTTTCTTTTTTATCGGTCATTGCATAGCAAGACCCCGTCTCAAAACAAAAAACAACAATGGTCAGGTATGCTGGCGCTCAACCATCACCCCAACACTTGGAATGCCATCACCCCAACATTCGGAATGTCGAGGCAGGGAATCACCGTGAGCTCCAGACGCGTCAGTCTGGGCTCCGAAAGTGCGGTCAAGCCAGCCTGCACTAGATAGTGAGATCCTGCCGTCAAAAAGAAAAAAACAAAAAATAAAAAACACAAAAACACAAAACTTGCTGGGCATAGTGATGAATACTTATAGTCCCAGTACTGCGGAGGGTGTGGGGAGAGTCTGCGGTTCCAGACCAGGCTGGGCTACATAATAAGATGCTGTCTCAAAAATAAATAAATAAATAATAAAAGAGCATTTATTTGATTGAGCATGTAAGACTTTTAGGTGACTAATCTAGGTGGGCTCGGCACCTTAAGAGGGTGTGGATATTTAATAGTGTGCTCCTTTGTATGTATTTCGTTTTGTTTTGTTTTAAAACAAGGTTTTGCTGTGTAGTCCATGCAGGCCTTGAGCTCTATCTGTATAACTAAGGCTGGCTCTGAACCTTTGAATTCACACACGCACTGAATTCAAGGCCAGCCCAAAAAACAAAGCAAAAGCCTCATTATGATAATTTCACCCGCTCTCTGCCCCCTCGCAGCCTTCTGAGCTGGCGCAGTGTGGACAGAGCAGCCCTTTAGCGGCCGGGGTGTGGATCCCGAGCAGAGCATCCCAGAGCAAAAGCCTGCGCCTGGCGCCGGGCGACGTCGGGCTGGCGGAGCGTGGGCCGCGGCTGGCGGGCTCCTTCCTGGGCGGCCGCTCGGGGGCGCGCGAGGCGCTCTGGGTTCTGGGCCGCGCGCCGCACCATCCACGTGACCGGGACCCGCAGCAGCTACCCCGCCCCAACGCTGCTGTGGTTAAGCAACTGCGGCGGGGCGGTCCGGGTTTTCCCAATCTTCCAGTGTCAGTAACTGTTTATAATTAATGGTTGGTCTAACATTTCTAAACCTCCTGGAGCTGGGCGTGGTGGCACATGCCTGTAATTCCAGCATTTGAGAGGCTGAGGCAGGAGGATCTTTGCAAGTTCAAGGCTTGCCTGGTCTACAGAGTGAGCTCAAGTCCAGCCTGAACTGCATAGTGAGACCATGTCTCGAAGAGACAGATAAATAATAAGCCTCATGGAGAAATCAGTAAAAACTAAGAAAATTAGTTGTGGGGGTACAAGGAAACAGGGTTTCGAAATATTTGTGTGTGTGTGTGGTCCTTTAGAGTCAGGGTCTCACTATGCAGTTCAGGCTGGTCTTAAACTCACCTTGTAGCCCAGACTGGACTCAAACCCTCAGCAATCCACCACCTCACCCTCCCAAGGGCTGGGATGACCGTCGAACATCACCATGCCCAGCTAAAATGTGCACATTTAATGTGGACTCAGCAATGGCCGTCTCCTATGCCTGTGCAGAGAACACTGAACTGTTGCCTTGGCCCCGGGCCTGGGTCTCTGTGCATCTCGCCTCTCTTTGGTCGTGATTCTGGTGTGTTTTTAAATTAGGTTCTAGTGCTTTCAGATGCCTCCTTCCGTGGGCCATCCAAAGGCAGTCCAGCCACCTCATTTGGCTCCCAAGCAAGAAAATAATGATCCTTTTCCTACCCAACAAAAAACTAGTTTAATGCACAAGCTGTGAGGTGTCTATCTGGAAAGTGGCACAAAAATAATGGCTTTAAGAAACACGCATACCTGTAATCACAACTCTCAGGGAGGCTGAGGCAAGAGAGTCAGAAATTTGAGCCCAAGCTGGGCATTTTAGCCATCAAGTGAGACCATGTCTCAAAAGCAGACTGAGGAGAGGTTATCTACTATTGTCATCAAAATTCAAGAAATTTGTGAAACCAGCTCATCAGGTTCTAAAACTGCTCCAGTGACAGCACAGTACATGTTATTAACCTTTAATGAAGATTGAAATTAAACATTGCTGGAAGATACGAACCAGAAATGCATGCCTAACAGTGGCAGGACATGGCAAAAGTGGCAAAGCAAGTGCCTAGCATGTACGTATGTGGCCCTCGGTTCAGTCCCCGATGTGCTGGGAAAAGAGGGCGTGTAGAATGTTAGCCCGACATGGCTAGAATACTAGGTTGCATCCCAGCACCACAGGAAAAAAAGAGACCCTGCTTGTGCTGCAGCAACTTCCCTGGTTCAGTCGAGCAGAATCTCCCAGAGGTGGCTTTAGTGCAGGGTCCCCAAAGTGCCACTCCCAGTACTGCACATTTCTCCCAGGTGCGCCCTCCTAAAGGTCCTGAGGGAGTCCTCCCCATCACTGTCACTCACCTGACTCAGCTCGACTTGCTGTGCACTCTGAATGCTGACCTTCTTCTCACTGGAATCATGAGCTTGGTATCAACAGCTACATTTACACTAAACAGGAAGCTTACGTTGGGTGAATGTCACTGGGATTTTAATGATTTCTGTGAGACAGAGGTAAAACTTTTTTTGTTTGTTTGTTTTTTTTAGAGGTGAAACTCTTTATTTATGTGGCCTAGGAATCAGGTCAGGATGGTTTTGTAAGATATCACTGAAGAAGAAATTATAGAATTCTTTTAGGACTGGAGATTGAACTCACGACCTTGCAGTGAGCTACAGACAGGGTCCCCCTAAATTGCATAGGCAGGCCTTGAACTTGCGATTTTCTTGCCATAGCTACCCAAGTAGCTGGCATTACAACTGTGCACCATGGTTCCTGGCTTAAGAGTTTCTTGGGGCTGGAGATTTAGCTCAGCAGCTCAAGCAGTTGTGAGTTCAATCCCTGGTACAAAAAAAAAAAGTTTCTTGAGAGAGTAATAAAAAGCCTAAGAAGAAAAAAAAAAAAAAGCTTAGAGCACTAATAAAATCATCCTCAAAAGACAAAAATGAATAGGAAGACCAGTTTAAATCATCCTAAATTTGCTGAAGTGTCCCATAATGTGAAATACCTGAATGACTTAATTTTGAATAAAGCCCATGTATTAAATGTGGTTAAGTCCTCTTCCGCTACCATTTTAAATGTAGCTCCACACAATGCTCTGCTGCTGCCACCACCCCCGGGACCCGGACTGCGTGCCTGCTCACCCCTGCCAATGGCTCCGCCACCATGGAGGACATGAACGAGTACAGCAATATAGAGTTCGCCAAGGGGTCCAAGACCAATGCAAGCAAGAACCTGCAGGATGATGGTAAGATGTTTATGGGAGGCTTGAGCTGGGATACAAGTAAGAAAGATCTGACTGAATATTTGTCTCGATTTGGGGAAGTTGTAGACTGCACAATTAAAACAGAGCCAGTCATTGGAAGATCAAGAGGATTTGGATTTGCGTTTTTCAAAGATGCTGCTAGCGTTGATAAGGACGACATTGAAGACTGGTCTTCTGTTGCTCTAATGATTATTTTGTAAAAGACTTTATAGTGTACAAGACACAACTGTGTCCCAACTGTATGTAGCCGCCAACTAATTTTCTTTGTTTTTACTTTGTCCTTTGCTATGTGTTATGACTCTGTGGATTTGTGTTTATACAAATTTTATTTGTATTATTTATCATGTTAAACCCCAAATAAATGCTTCCTTATGTGATTGTTAAAAAATAAAAAAAGTAAATGTGGTTAAGTTGGTACGTTGTATCTATCTCTTTGCAACTCAGCAATTCACATGAATTTGTACCCAATAGAAATACACCTGTCGCTGGGTATAGCTCAGGCTTAGAGAGTTGGGTTCTATAGCAGCAAAAACAAAAACAAATTACTATGTACATGATGTACAAGCTTTTTAGTGGGCCTCAGCGTGTTTGCAGCGGTGGGGAAGTGGGGTGAGAGGGAGAGGCTGAGGATGAATCCCAGATCTGTATGCACATATGCTAGGCAAGACCTCAACCACTGGTCCACTGGCCCACATTCCCCACCTCTCAGTACTGGAGACTGAACACAGGGCCTTTGCATCCACCCAGCCTTTTCATGTATTTATTTTTAAATTTAAAATTTATTTTTGTTTTTACTTTTTTGTCTTTCTTTAGGACAGGGTCTCACTACTTCATCCAGGGTGGCCTTGAACTCACCATGCAGCCCAGGCTTGACATGAATGCAAGATGATCCTCCTGCCTCAGTCTCCCAAGTGCTGGGATGACATGTGTACCACCACACTTGGCATTACATTCTAATGTTTTATAAATGTCTTCACACAGCTATTTTGAAGAGAACAAGAGACATTATGGTAGTCATTGTTGATTTTCCTATTGTCTGCTTTTGAAGGCCTATAATGCTTTCATTCTTCTGTTTTGATCAGTTTTATACTATTTTGTTTTGTTTGAATTGTGTGAAGATATAGACAGTCATTTCAAAGAAAACAAGAGACATTATGGTAGCCACTGTTGATCTCCTGTTGTCTTGCTTTGAAATCTTGTGCTTTGTTCTGTTATGCCCTCTTTAAAAAAATGTCTTTGTATTCTCTTTGAAGATGCATTAATCTCCAGTGCTTAGTACAAGTCATTGGATGGAGCCAGAAACTGCTCTAAATGCTTTACATATAAGCTCATTGCATCTCGTCTATAGTTATGCAATAGGTAACATAGGTCTGATAAACAGGAGGTCAATGAATGCTGGCCTTCAGGTGTTCATGCCCAGTCTGGTTTGGCATCTTTGATGTCACCTTGCTATACAGTGGCACTTAGGAAATGTTTAGCAAACAGTAGTTATGCTCAGGGAGTGCTTCTTGCTATGCACCAGGCTCTGTGTCCTCTACCTGAATTTTTTTTTTTTTGTAATAGTCTTTTTATGGCCCCAGGCCGACCTCAAAGTCACTATCTTTTTGCCTCAGCCATTTAAGTAGCTGGGAGTACAAGTACATGCAACTTTGCTTGGTTTCACTTAGATTGCTTCAACTCTAAGACAACCTTGTGATGTAAGTACCATCCTTATTCCCATTTTACATAAGAGAAAACAAGTTTGGATAGTTTGGTAACCTCCCCAGAGAATCACTTGAAACAACCGTCTGAAACAGGACAAGGAGGTATGCATCTTTAGTCCCAGCCACTCAGGAGGCTGAAGCTGGAGGATGCTTCAGCTCAGGCTACATAGTGAGACCTGCATCTCAAAACAAAGCCTTAGCCCTGTGGTCTACCGACTGACAAAGACCATCAGTCTAGGAAGGGACTGATGTGCAGTGTGAAGAGCCGCGGGGGACCTGGACACCTACAGCTCTGAGCCCTGGACAGTTTGGAAACCCTGGTGTGGCAGGCTGGATCTGGCCCAGGGCAGAAAGAGACCATTCAAGCAGTGGCGACCCAGAATCTCAGCGAGTTGGAAACCAGGGCATCAAATGAAGGCCCTTCCTCGATTACACACACCTGTCCTCAGGGGCTCAGGGGGTGGCCCACAGTGTCCACCGTGCACATCCACTGGGATCGCAGGGCGTGGTTCATTATCAGAGGGTTCATTCAGAATGGGGACCGCACGGGGCGAACACCAGGACAGGCGAAAGGAGGAATACAGTCTTGGAGTCCTCTCCGAGGAGGTCACCCCCTGGGGAGGTGACCAGAGGTTCACCCAATCGCGCGGGCTCCAACACTGAAGCTCTGGGCTGTACGAGTCCAGGTTTTCAGCTGCTCTTCAGTCTCCACCTAGACTGATAGTCTTTGTCAGTCGGTAGAGCATAGGACTAAGGCTTTGTTTTGAGACGGGTCTCACCCTCCTGAGTGGCTGGGATTACGGTGCATGCCTCCTTTGTCCTGTTTCAGAGGGTTGGTTCAAGCGATGCTCTAGGGAGGTAGCTAAACTCTCCAAGGCCGGCACAGTGGGCGACGCCACCCGGAAGCCGTGGTAACCTCCTGGCGAGTTCCGGGGGGCGTGGCATGAGCGATGACTGGCGGGTTAACCGCCCGGGGGCGGGGCTCCGCCGGGGTGGCGGAAGCGGCTCCTGCAGACCCGGTGCGCCCCGGCGGCTCTCGGCGGCTTCCTCCTGAGGTCCTGCGGCCCCCGGCCAGGAGGGAGGCCAGGCGAGGTTGGGGATAGTGGCGGCAGAAGCTCGGGGCGGTTACGGTGGCGGCCCATGGTGAGGTCGGAAGGGGGCAGACTTCTCGGGCAACCCGGCACAGATGGGGCGCAGGCAGGGTAAATGGATCCAGGAACTTTAGAGTCGCGGACTGGTCTGCGCGCAGGGGTGAAAGCAGAGGATGCTTGGGTGAGGACCCCACCTCAGGGTACCGCGCTTCAAGTCCCTTTCTCTTCCCACCTCCCCTCCAGATCGGTCCCTCTCGGAGCTGCACTTTTACAAGAGAGGCGCCCCAGCAAGACTCTCCCGGAGAGTCGGCCGGCTGTTCACCTTCATGGGCCAGACGGCCCTGGCAGGGGGCGGTAGCAGCAACCCCGCCCCACAGGCCGTCTACCCTGACCTCTCTCGTCCCGAGGGCTTGGAGGAGCTGCTGTCGGCTCCCCCTCTTGATCTGGGGGCTCAAAGGCGCCACGGCTGGAACCCCAAAGACTGCTCCGAGAACATCGTGGTCAAGGAAGGGGGTCTGTGCTTTGAGCGGCGGCCGGTGGCCCAGAGCACAGATGGGGCGCGGGGAAAGAGGGGCTACTCCAGGGGCCTGCACGCCTGGGAGATCAGCTGGCCGCGGGAGCAAAGGGGCACCCACGCCGTGGTGGGCGTGGCCACGGCCAGCGCCCCGCTGCAGGCTGACCACTACGCGGCGCTGCTGGGCAGCAACAGCGAGTCGTGGGGCTGGGACATTGGGCGAGGGAAGCTGTACCATCAGAGCAAGGGGCCTAACGCTCCCCGATATCCAGCTCAACCTCAGGGTGAGCAACTGGCGGTGCCGGAGAGGCTGCTGGTGGTTCTGGATATGGAAGAGGGAACTCTGGGCTACGTTGTTGGGGGTACCTACCTGGGGCCAGCCTTCCGTGGACTGAAGGGCAGGACACTCTATCCCGCTGTGAGCGCTGTCTGGGGCCAATGCCAGGTTCGCATCCGCTACCTGGGCGAGAGGAGAGGTGAGGCCTGGGGCAAGTGTGGGGAGAGAACTCTCCCTGGTGGCAGTGGTTTGGGATGGAAGCTAAAAATTGGAGGAGAGCAGAGTGGATGGGTCCTCATTTGACCTATTGGGGCCACTAATTCAGTCCTAATTCAGTCCTAATTCAGGCCTAATTCAGTCCACCAGCAGCAGGTAAGACTGAGGCTTGGGAAAGCAGGTTCTTATGCCTAATAAGTGGTGACCCCCACAGAAAGAAGGGAAGCAGGATTAGGACTTCACAGAAGATAACAGCTCCTGAGCAAGAAAGGGAAAGGGTCGAACATGTAATCAGGCTAGGTGTACAGCCCCAAAGACTGGCAGTGCCAGGCACCCAAAGTGTAGCAGATTCGCTGGACTCTGACCTGTCTCTGGACCACATGGCTACTTCCTTCCTCAAACCCCAAGATAAAGCCTCAGGGACTCTGGGCACCAGAAAGGGAAGCAGAGCAGACCTTGGGTGGGGCTGCAGGAGAGATGCCTTCTTGGGAATCGAGACCAGGAGCTGGCTCTGGTAGTTGATGGCCTCAGCAGAGGGTATATGCCTGACCTCCTGTCACCCAGAGAGTGCACACAGTGGAAAAGGGCCAACCTTCCTTTGGCCTCAGCCCAGCTACAAGGGCCACTGGAATCAAAGCCTGGGCCAGCTCTACCCCTGCTGGAGCCACCGTGGCCTGCTGCTTGTCTCTGACTAGGGATGTGCAGTACAGATGCTAGGGAGCCCAAGATCTCAGACAGGAGGTAGGCTCAGAGCAGGAAGCAGAAGCTGGGCAGGACCTTGCAGTGTGTGGAGTGGGGCCATCCTGCACCCTGCTTAACCTCCCTTTCTCTCCCCCAGCGGAGCCACACTCCCTTCTGCATCTGAGCCGCCTGTGTGTGCGCCACACCCTGGGGGATACCCGGCTTGGCCAGGTGTCTGCTCTGCCCTTGCCCCCTGCCATGAAGCGGTACCTGCTCTACCAGTGACCCTGTGACACCACCCCTACCCTGGACCTACAAAAGCCAGTGAGGTTGGGCCCCTTCTGCAGCACAAGCTCTGCAGAGCTCAACAGGACCATAGACACCCAGAACAGCCAGGAGAGAGGATGTTCCAGGCTGTGGCAGCCTGGTATTCAAGACCTTTTTCAAGTAAAAATAATAGATGAATGTTAAAGATAAAAAAAATTAGTAAGAAATATGTTATAGAAACCTATTTATGGTTGTTTTTTTTTTTTTTTTTTTTTTCCACAAGTGATATAGTTCTGTGATTGCCTTTTAAAAAGGAGAGATTGGAGCTGGGAATATAGCTCAGTAGCCCAGTACCTGCCTGCCAAGCACAAGGTCCTGGGTTCAATTCCTGGTACCTTCTCCTCCAAAAAATAAGATTGCTGGGTATGGAGGTACACCATGAGTTCCAAGGCCAGCCTGAACTACAGAAGAAGACCCTGTCTCAAAAAATAAATAGCCAGGGATTTAGCTTAGTGGCATAAGCACCTGCCTGACAAGCGTAAGGTGGCAAGTTTGATCCCAAATACAAAAAATAAATACGGGGAAGTGCAGCAAAGGAGGACAAGCACATGTCTTAGTGCCAGGTGTTTTATTTCCCTTACATGTGGACAGCTCATAGACACAGCACACACACAGGGTCGGCACTGTGAGAGGGTAGCATCCCTGCCTCTCAAGTGAGGACTATCACAGTGGTGGGGAGGATGACTTCTCTACTGCCCTCAGCAGGGCCTGAGGGGGACCATAAGCAAGCTCCACTCCTGCCTCTCAGCCAGGGAGAAGCTACCTTGCAGCTCAGAGTAAGTGATGAAAAGATTGGCCTGGTCCCAACCATTATGGGGCGGGGGAGGTGGTGATGGTGGTGGTGTGTAAATACTCGTTTGGATTGGGCCACTGGAGGAGCAGATGACATCAAAAGCATGGGAGAGGGGCATCACTGGAATTCCCAGCTGCTTCCTGGCTTAGCAGGAAGGGGAGTGGAGACGGATGGCACTTAGTGTTTGGCATTGATGATGTCCACAAATTCAGGCTTGAGGGAGGCACCGCCCACCAGGAAGCCGTCCACATCAGGCTGGCTTGCCAGCTCTTTGCAGGTTGCCCCAGTCACTGAACCTGGGAAGGGGAAGAAAGGTGAGTACATGCCATCCTTGCTTCCATGTCTAAGGAGGGCTCCATCTCTCACTCTGCCCACCCTGCAGGAGGGAAGCCAAAGTCACCTCCATAAATAATCCGGGTGCTCTGAGCCACAGCATCGGAGACATTGGACTTAAGCCATCCTCGGAGTTTCTCATGTACTTCTTGAGCCTAGAGTGAAAAAGCAGACTACATAAGACCTGTTTGGTACCAGTAGATTTAGTTTGGTTTCCATGCAAGAACCTTGAGACTTGAGTCAGAATGCCAAAGCTTTCATCCCACCTAGGCCCTGGAACAAGTCACTGTCTCTGTAGGCTTGGGGTTCCACCCTTAAGATGGATTTAGCCAGGCCTGGTGGCACACACCTGTAATCCCTCTCTCTGGAAGCTCAGGCAGGATCATCATGAGTTTGAGGCTAGCCTGGGTTACACAGTGAGCCAATCTAAACTATATAGTGGCTAGGCATGGTGGTAATCCCAGTACTGGGGAGGCTGAGGCAGGAGGATAACTATGAGTTTGAAGACAGTCTCAACCACATATCCAAATCCTGTCTCAAAAAAATCTGGGGATTCAGCTCAGTGGCATAAACCCCTGCCTTGCAAGTATGCTGTTGTGAGTTCCATCCCAGGTATCCAAAGAAAAGGAAAAAAAAATCTTCTAAATTACATGGTGAATAGCAAGAGACCCTGTCCCAAAAAAAGAAAGGGTGACGGGGCTTAGGTTGGACAGAAGAAATAGGTTTAAAGGAGACAAGGAAATACAAAATTTTAAAATTGTACTTAAGGGGGCTGGGGATTTAGCTCAGCAGCATAAGCTCCTGCCTTGCAAGCAGGCAGTCGTGAGTTCGATCCCTGGTACCGATAAAAAACGAAAAAGACAAAAAAAAAAAAAAAAAAAAAACCTCTCTTAAAATTGTACTTAAAAGAAAAATGGCAACTTCAGAACACAAGCCCAGGTTTATTTATATATATTTTTTTCTCCCAAAATAGCAAACCTGGGCAACTCCCTTTCAGCTGCAAAGGGGTCTGCCTGTCTCATTTTACTTGCAAATGGTCCTTATACCAATGAAGGGACCAACTTTCTGACATTTCCCATAGGAATAGCTCAGTAAGGGAAGGCCATCCTCACTAAGATTCTAGATTATTAAATTCCATAGATTTGCACCCCCAAAACATACAAAAGATTCCCTGGTTCTCAACTAATCCATGCGTCATTTCTTTGAGCACAATAGTCCACACGTATGTCCCCTATATCTTTTGCTAATAACTCTGTCTCATGCCTCTTTAAAAAATAAAACAAAATAAAATAAGGGGCTGGGGATTTAGCTCAGTGGCATAAACGCCTGCCTGGCAAGCGTGAGGTCATGAGTTCGATCCCTGATACCAAAAATAAAGTAAAATAAGGGGCTGGCTCAGATGGTATCTGTATCTATCTGGTTCTGAGGCAAGACAGGATGAGGACAGGGTTCCTGGGCCCAGTTACCTGTTGAGGTGTTGCTGTCTTGCCAGTACCAATGGCCCACACAGGTTCATAGGCCAACACAACCTTGCTCCAGTCCTTCACATTATCTGCAGGCCAGAGATCACACAAAAAAATGGTTGAGTATAGCGGCGCTATCCAGAAAAGTCGCTGCGGTTACAGGGAAGGACAGCCTACTGTCCCCTGGTGGTCTTGAGGAATCTCCAGGTTCCATCTGGACCCTCTGGGGCATAAAAGTGCTTAGGACCAAGCAAGAAACCCTCAAGGCACGCTGAAGGGGATCTGACCCCATGCCTTCTATCTCTGCCTCCACCCCAACAATACACAAAGGTCCTTTTTTCTGGAGATACCTGAGATGACCTTGGTCTGCTCAAAAACGACCTTCTCTGTGATACCAGCTTCCCTTTCATCCAGCTTCTCCCCGATGCAGGCGATTACTCCTAGTCCCTCTGCCAGGGCATGGGCCACCTTCTGCCCAATCAGCTGTTGAGGGACAGATCTGGTGTTATATTCTAGAAACAATGCGTCTCTCTCTTTTTTTTTTTTTTTTTTTTTTTGGTCTTTTTGAGACAGGGTCTCATATGCGTTCAGGCTGGCCTTGAGCTCACTTTGTAGCCCAGGCTTGCCTCAAACTCATAGAGATACTCCTGCCTCAGCCTCCTGAGTACTGAGATTACAAGGTGTGCACCACCACACCTGGCTAACAAAACATCCCTCACCTGCTGTCCTGGTTAATACTTACCTCATCTGATTCCCCAAAGACGTGCCTCCTCTCTGAGTGGCCCAGGACTACCCATGTGGCTCCAAGGTCTTTGATCATGCCAGGACTGAGGGAAGACATGAGTCAAGGTTCAGCAGGGAACCCACCTTGTAGCTCTCCCCTGAATGGGGCACCCTCTCCACCTCTCTCACCTGATCTCTCCAGTGAAGGCCCCATTAGTAACTTTGTAGCAGTTTTGTGCAGCCACAGCTATCTTGGGGTCCAGCTTCTGCCTGGCGAAGTCGATGTAGGCAGTGGGGGGTGCACAAACCACCTCTGGTCATGAGATGTTGACACACAGAAGAGATCAGAGAAACCCCTCCAGGCTTGGGGAAACCCCCAGCCCTCTCCCTTTCTTGCTTCTGCTCTCCCCTTTTCACCCCAGCAACATGACCTTTGTCCACTTCCCAGCCCATGCTGGGCCTGCACCCAACTCCAGAGCCATCCAAAGGCCCCCGACAGGCTATAGCTCTCACTCTGCCCTCTGCTCTTTCAACAGCTGTGGCTCCAATTTCCTTGGGCTATTCTGGGCATGGGCACCTCTCAGACTCAGCATTCTCCGGGGCCAACCCTGCTTCCCTTCTAAAATAGCCCACTCCCCCATACCCAACAAGGGACTGATTTTCAGCAAAAAGAGAAGGGGCCGACTCCTGGCTGTGTATTTGTATTTTGGGAGCTAAAAGAAAGCGATGCCCCAGTGATCAGCCCCGTGGCTCTGTGATTTAGGCGGGTGGGGGAAGGATGGAGGACAGCACTTTCTCAGTGGGCGGTCGGGAGTCCATTAGCTCATAGAGGCCTTGTGCTCTTGCGTTCCAGGTTTAGGCAAGCTGTAGGATCGCTCATCATCCCCAATGGCTCAGCCCACTTAGCACCTGCTCAACCCTTGTTGCGGAAGGCAGGAGTCGCCAGGGCCACAGAGGGGAAGGGGATCGAGGCCATGAGGCATGGGGAGGAGCCATGGGCTACGTGCAGAGGCGCACGGAGGAGCCGCCAGCTAACAGGGTCAGGTAGCGGAGGGCCCGCAAACGGGCCCGGCCTCCTCCCCAGCACATCGGGGCTCAAGCAGCTTCTCCAGATCGCCTGTAGGGACTCAGGCTCCACTCCTTCCTCTGCTGTGGGTCCGTGCAACCCAGTCCTGGCCCAAGGGCCATTTTCCTCCCGGAGACCCTGGTAATCCCTCCCGCCTCACAGGCGTGGACCCCGGCAAATGCTCTCTTCTCGACACAGTTCGGGCCCTGCTGCTGCGAGGCCACTGCGCGGGCACCCAACATCCCATCCCTCAGACCTGCACCCAGGTCCACGAGGATCCCTGGCTTAGGGACCTCGGGGACGGCCCTGCCTCGCCCGAGCCTCCCGGGCCCTGCGGCTCCAGCACAGCGCTCACCAGTGTCAGCCGGCACCTTAGCGGCATTCAGGGTGTTGATGAGCTCCCCCAGGGTGTTCTTCCTGCCATTCATCTTCCAGTTGCCCCCCACGAAGAACTTCCTGGACGGCGCCATGGCGCTAGAGCCGGCACACTGAAGGTCAGGATCAGCGCGCAGCCGCGGCCACTGCCCGCTTATGTACAGGCTGGTGAAGCAGAAGCCCGCCTCCTGCCCGCCCCCTGCCATGGCCGCCCCGCCCCGCCCGCCTGCCCACCGCCTCCCTCCCACCCACTGCCCGCCCAGCAATGAGGTTCCAGCGTCCCCAGTCTTAGCAACGTTCTAGGGGTCGGGGCTCGGACGCTCCGGGATCCATTCCTGATTTGGTAGGCGGTGAGAAAGGTGAATGCCTGTTGTCAGGAAACCCACCTCACAACCGCAGCCCCGCAGGCTCCCGACAGAAGTCGCTACCTGGAGCAGAAACTTGAGCTTAGCTCAGCTAGCTCCTTGGGGCTGAGCTGGCACCAGCAGGGGCTTCAGCCCTAAAAGAGACCACTGCTCCCATGATAGCTCCGTCCCCACAGCTCAGCCGGCGTCCTGGGCCTGGCCACAGGTGCTGGGCAAATATGAGAATGGGCAGCCCACGCCTGCACAGCTTAAGTGCCTAGCAAGCGTGCGGACACTGCCTCTCCCACCCCTATAGCCTGACCTCCTCTCCAGCTGGACAGGGATGAGGCCCATAAGCCAGCAGGGTTTTGGGAACCATTTCTTGGCTTTGTGAGTTGCATTTCATGTCACTCTGTTCCACTTCCTCATCTCACATTGTACTGGGGAGGGCCAAGGGACAGAGCTGAGAGCCTCCTTGTCTTCCCTAGGAGGGCAAGCCTCTCCCAAAGTACCCGACAGGACAGGACAGGACAGTCGGTTTCCCACTGTACTTTTATTCACATCGTGTAATTTGGCATTTTCCAGAGGACCAGGAAGAGACAGGGTGGGGGAAAGACTGAGGCAGGAGGGCAAGGGGAGTCATATCCCTCCTTGCCCAACCATGAATGAACACATAGGGGCAGGAGAGGTGCAGAGCTCCCTCCCCTGAAAGATGCACAAAGCCACACCCACAGCACACAAGTCACCCTGCCCTCCGCCAGGGCTGGGCAGGGCAGTGTGCGGTGCAGAGCAGGGCACTGTGTGTGGGGCAGGGGAAGCAAGTCTCTTTACAGGTGGGCAGTGGGCCCTGTGCTAGCCCCAGCTATTCTAATGCCCCTCTGCTTTGCTTGGCCATTTTTCTATGGTCTCCAGCTTCTTCCCTGCTGCTGGGGACAAAAGAAAATGGTGTGGAGCAGGGGCTACAGGCCCTGGCCCTTGTGCCCACTGATCCGTCCCTTGACCTCCGTGGAGGGAGCGGCGCAGGGTCTTAGCTGGCCACTCTCTGGTAGAAGTAGATGTAGCCCAGGTCCTTGGGCGGCTTCTCAGAGGCACACACTTTCTGGTCATTGTAGATCACCCATCTGGTGGGAAGGATGCATAAACAGCATTCCAAATTGCACCAACTGTCTCTTAGCCAGATCCCTGAGGGGGCAGAGGGGAGCTCCTGGGGCAAAACCCTCAAGAGTCTCTGCCTGGATTTCCAAGGGAGTCAGGCCACTGGATTCCAGAAAGCTTCTGGATCTAATAAGGGTTGCTTCCCGATTTTTGTGTCTCGGACACTCCAGTATCTTCCAGTCACCCTCCACCCAGCCCTGTGAGGCAGGGACAACAGACTTTCTAAGCCAGTCAGTATTTTCAGTTTTGCTAGCCTTCTGGTCTGATGCAACTACAGTTTTCCTGTTACCACATGCAAAGGCTCACGGGCAACACATAAACGACCAGTGGCTGGCCCGTCAAATACCACTGGCCGAAGCAGGTGGGCTGTAGTCTGCCTATCTCTGCAGCAATGAATCTTCCCTCCCAACTTCGGTGTATTATGCCCCTCAGGCAGTGCCGAAGACCCTGAGGGACGTCCAGGTTGCCCTTCCTCACTCCCACCACCACCTGTCATTCACACTGCACACAGCCAGCCCTCACCTGCCTTCCTTCTTGATGTGGCAGACGTAGTGACCACACATGGTAGAGGTGCCCATGTGACTAATGAAGGCAAAGAGCTGATACTCTGGTAATCAGACAGAAGACAGAGGGGGAAACAGGAGAAACACCCTTGAGTCACAGTTCTGAAATGTATGTAACAGCTCAAACTCAGGAACAGGAGCTTCGAAGGATTGGCAGGGGGATGTCTTAGGTCAAAGCTACCTCAGCCCACCAGATCCTACCCTTACAAGACCTGTCCATGGAAGAGGCTTTGGAATCCTCTGACCTGAGGAAAGCAGAGCTGCTTGGAAAGAGGGCCCCAGTGACTGACAGTGGTAGGTGCCACCAGGTTTTCCTGTCTCCTGGGAACACTCACTTCCAGGGCCATCCCGGACTTTAGGTCCCACTGGCACAGACTCAGAGATGGAGTCAGCAGCCGAGCGGCCCTCTGAGATGTCCATGGCTGCTTCTGCATCCAGATCGTCAATGTGACTGAAGATCCAGTCCACCGCCCGTTCCAAACTATTGTTCTTGGAGAGGAGGGAAGTGTTACTTTTCCTAACGAGCCTCAGCTCCTCCACTATACCACTGAACATGGCCCCCAGCCTTGGTCCCTGATCCTGCTCACCCAAGATGGAACCTCAGCCCCATCCCCTTCTCCCCATGGGCTCCGAGTCCTTCACCAGTCCTTCAACCATACCGTGGCCCGCAGAGCTTTCAGGGCCTGGTCCCTGGAGAAGCCCATGGACACGATGGTGGTCACACAGTCCTCCGGTGGGGGGTCAGCTGCTGCACTTGTGGAGCCAGGCCCACTGGAGCCAGGCAGGATTAGGGGGTTTGCAAAATCTGTGGATGTGGAGCGGTTGAAGTGTGTGCAGGAGGATGGACGCCCTGGTCCACCCTGCCACTTGCTCCTGCCTACCTGGATCATCCATATGTGACATCACCCAGTTCATGGCAGCCTCAGCCCCACTGTTGCCTGTGTAGTAGACAGCTTTGCGGCAGGCATCCATGGGAAAGCCCATTTCTACCAGCTGTATGATGACTGATTCATCCAACATGGGCGCTGTGATAGGGAAACATGGGCACCATGATCTGACTGTATGGGCTATGATTTCTATTTCTTTCCTTTTCCCCCCACATGCTGGGCCCCAATCACCCACGCTAATCACCCATTCCATGCATTTTTCTTCCATGGACAACACTTTAGCCTAGAACTAAAAGGAACACAAGCTATAATGTGGGTATAGCATCCCAAACACTATCACTTTCCTGCCATTCTTACAAAATGGGCCCCATTTCTAAAGTATGATGCCCCCATTCCACTCAAATTAGGTGGTAACGAGGATAGAGAGAGGTAATTAGGCCAATGCTACCGCTGTCCAAATGCAGAATGTAGCTAGGAGCATTCCAGTTAGTCCCCACATCCATCAAAAGAGGGCAGAGGAAATGTGAAAGGGCAGATAGTAGAAACACAAAAGGACAGGGTCCAGGGAAGCAAGGCAGAGGCCCCCCATCAGCAAAGGAAAGACACAGGCAGGAAGAAGAGTCACTAACATGTTGGAGAGGAGAAGTGAGGGGAGCAGAAGGAGTCTTCGTCTTCGTTGCCATAGAAACCAAGGCTACCTTTGGGCTCATCCGGAGTGACCAGGGGTGGGGCAATGTCAGGCAACTCCTCCTCTCCTGGCTGCAGCCCTGTACCCCTCAGCTGGGAGATGTCCAGCTCTTCTGGCATCTCAATGGACACATCTGCAATTAGAAGGACAGAAAGATCACCTCAGCAGCACCCAGAGCCCATCTGGAAAAAACACTTTGTAAAAAAACAGATCAAGGTATACCATGGACAGGTACAAATTTCCTATGATGAATGTGATCATGGAATATACCAAAGTTGTACCAATATACTTAAAAATACACAAAACACTTTGTAACTCTCTCAATGCCTTGCCCCATAACCTGAAACTGCTCAGCAAGGAATTACTAACTTCAGGGATCTCAGCATCCTAGAGTCTAGGAGTCAAGAGATCTAACTAACACCAAGAGCTACTGAAAAACAGGGACTTCAACTGGTGTGACAGAGGAACTATGCTTCTCTGGGTCTCAACATATCTAGAAAATGAAGGTATAGGGGCTGGGGATTTAGCTCAGCGGCATAAGCGCCTGCCTTGCAAGCAGGCAGTCGTGAGTTTGATCCCCAGTACCGATTAAAAAAAAAAAAAAAGAAGAAGAAGAAAAGAAAATGAAGGTATATCGGCAATTCTCAATTTACAGCCCTGGAATTGTAAGATTCAGGAGAACTGTTTCAAAATTATCAAAATGAAAAGACTAATTATAAGACTAAAACCACAAAAATAATTTTTAGTTGTAAATTCTAATTGTAAAATGAAAGCTATAGAGCCAAGTTTCACAGCAGACACCTGTAACAGATCCACCTAGGACAGATGGATTGTAAATTTGAAGCCACCCTAGGCTACAGAGCAAGAAACAGTGTGGAAAAATAAATAAAAATATTCAATAGTTTTAGTGCTTTTCAAACCAGTTGCATTTCAAAACATCTAGGACTAATTTTTTCCTTTTTCTGATGTTTGAGAAACACTGATTTATGTGTGCAAAGGCCCTCTCCTTTTCTAGTAAGGCCTGTTTCACCGCCCTCGGCCCAGCCACCATACCCAGTTTCTTGGGCACCCAGTCTAAGCCGAAGGTGAATTTCTTGATCTGGATGACCAGGTAGTCAGGGAATGAGGCAAAACGTGTGGTCCTAGGGAAGAAAAAAGGTGCTTGTACCAAAGGACTGCAGGCTCTCCTCTCTCAAAACCCTTACCCCGGGCCTTGATCTCTCCTGGACAGAGCCCAAAGGGCTGGGGGCCTCATCCTAGAGACCTAAGTACTCCTGCAGCTCTTGAGCCTGTGACAGGGACCAATGGCTTTGAAATGCAGGCCACGTGCCGGAAGTTCAAATGTGGAGCCTCATTCTTCCTGGCTCTGTGACCATGGAAATGCTTAGCTGACAGTAAGTGCCACAAAGAAGGGAAGAAACCCTACACTTTGGAAGAAAAAGTGGTATGGCACGACAAGGTGACAAGACAAGGTCATTACCATGTCTACCGCTGCTAGGGCCTCTTGGTTCCCTCAGGGAAAGATCACCGGCCCTGGAAGATTCAACCCTGAGATCCCAAGCAAAATGGATGAAAGCATCAACAGTTCAGAGGCAGCTGTGTCTGTGAGGATTGCCCTGTTGCAGCCTGCACCCAGGCCGGGACTTACTTGACAGCAACCGACTTGGCCTGCAGGGCTGTGCTCCAGAAGTCATCCACCTGTTCTGGGGCCCCATAGGCCTCCAGGCAGGAGCTGAAGGGCACCTGGGCCCGAACCAGCTCTGGCAGTGGCACCTTCTCCTCTTCGGCCTGCCGCTTCTTCTCCTCATACTCTAGAAGCTCCTCTGGTGAGACAATGTAGTAGTATGTCCTTACAGGGCGTTGCCTCCTCCCACTTCACCCTTGAGACTGCTCTAGCTCCAGATTCTCCACCTTTCCAATAGCTCTATTCACCTTATCTATCTCTATACCACATCAGGTACCTATGTACCTGCTGCACTCACCAAGGCCATGTGGTGACAGCCTACCTTTGTTAAGGGCTGCATCCATGGGCACAGGCAGCTGCATGATGTAGTCAACTCGCTGGGTGTATTTCACCTTCTCTGTTGCCAGGCACTTGATCTTTTCCTCCACCAAGAATCGAAACACTTCATTAGGGTTTTCAGAGCTCCGGCAATTCCTCTATGGGAAAGAGACAGACAGGGCAGACAGGTCTGGGCAAGCAGAAAACAAAATGGCCTACAAGGTGGTTAGAGTCAGGAGAGAGGGTAGTGGAGGCCCACTCGGGAGCCTGGGGATGCAGGAGGGGTATAGCTTCCCCTCACCAGCCACTCTCCAGTCCCAGTTCTGGCCCATCATAGTACTGTGTAACTGTCTGGAAAAATGCTAGTTTTCCTTTGTAAGCAGTAAGTTTTCTCATGTCATTTTCTTTTTTCTTTTCCTTTCTTTTTCCTTGAAGTGGCAGAGATGGAACCCGAGGCCTTACACACGCCAGACAAGTGGTTTGTCACTGAGCACACCTTGCCCAGGCCTGAGTTGTCATCTCTGGGTGTATGTTCCTTTATCTGGCTGCAAGCTCATCCCAGGTAAGGGCTCTCATGTGCCTTGACTTCTCAGGTGCAAAGCCTGCTCGCAGGGCAGCTCAGGATAAGCTGACTTGGGTAGAGGTGGGACAGGGTGGGGCTGTGGGAGGAAGGGATGTGTGGGATGCACAGAAGAGCAGTGCAGGCAGGCACAGTCATGTGATCTCCCAGCCCTTACCTCCACCATGTTGATTAGGTGCAGAAAGAACTCCTGTGCATCCTGCTGCCGGTTAGTAGAGAACTCAGGGTGGCCCTTGCCAATGAGGGCCTTGAACATCCGAGGGGCAATACCATCTTGAACTTCCTAAGCAGAACCAAGGCAGAGACTCAGCTGGAGCTCAGACCTTATCAAAGGGGCCTTCTTTCTTTCATTTAAAATACCGTTTTTTTGGAGGTGGGGAGTGCTGGGATTGAACACAGCACCTCATGCAAGCCAGGCAACTGCTGTATCACTGAGCTGTTTTCCCAGCTCGCAAGGGGCTGTTAGCCATTTTTCAAACCTCAGTTTCCCCCAACTCCAAAGCCTGAAAGCAATAAAATCCCAACTTACCTTTTGTTCTGGCACTTGCTCCCCATCACCCGACTCCGGTGCTGGCTTAGAATAGTCTCCCGAGAGAAGACCATGGCCCAGCTTGGCCCTGAGTAAAGAGCCAAGAAAACTACTTAGCTTCAGTCACCTAATGATCCTCAAAGCTACCTATATATTTTCGTCCCTAACTTAACTTACTCGTGGCCCTCGTTAGACATCTCTCAAATGTGTAAAAAATAGCTGGGCATAGTTGTCCCATGCCTGTAATTCCAGCTACTCAGGGGGCCAAAGCAGGAAGATTTCACGTTCAAGGCTAGCCTACAAGACTCTTGGTGAGACTCTAGCTCAAAATAAAAAAGAATTGAAGTGTAGTTTAGGGACAGAGCATTTGCCTAAAATGCACAATGTTCTGGGTTCAATGCCTAGCACCCCTCCCCCCCCAAAAAAGTGAAAATAAATCTAAATAAGCCTTAAGTTGCACAGAAACCCAGCTTGGGATAGACAGCATGTCCAGACACAATTACCCAAAAGCTTCCAGTTGTCTAGAGTTCAACTGCCCCCACCCACTGGTAATGGAGAAGAAATAGTGTACAGTCTATGAGGCTCTCAACAGCTTTTGTACACACAGGACAGGGTACATACACCTGGGTACTGAAGTCCTGGGTGGGGTCCGTGGGGGCATTCTGGAAGATCTTCTCTAGTTTGTCCACATACCTGAGAGTCAAAGGAAGGAGGACTGGTGGGCTCAGCCTGAGCACAGAAACCAGGGAAGGGAGCCTTTACTCATTTTATGTGTGGGCAGTGACTGGCAGGTGTGGCCAGTCCACTCCTGTCAGTAGTCTATCCTCCTCCATTCCCTAAGTCAGCATGCAACATGCTTGGAGGCGCTCTCCCTGTCTCCTCCCAAAAACAGAGGCAGTGGGAGGGGGAAAGGCAGCTGGAATTAGGGTACACAGAGTTCACTTTCTGTTGGACAGTTTCTTGGCACATTCTCATTGCTTTCCAGTTAGATAGTAAACTCACTTATGCTAAGAATTTGCCTTTCTTCTACCTTAGGACCTGAAGCCCTTTCCTTTCCTGGAGTGCTACACATCCATGTTAGATGTTCCACTGATTATCACTGGCCTAAAATAAAGACCACCTTCTGACCCTTGAGTATCGCGTCAGAGAGGCCTGGGATCTGACATCCTGCTCTATCAATGGGGTCTGTGGAGCTTTCACTGTGACAGTCACAGTGTAATAGGAACTCTTTAAGACTGAGATCCCTCATATAGGCTCTGAGGGCAGCAACCTGGAGAGGAGATGGGGACATGGCAGGGCAGGGAAAGGGGCCACTCACTTCCTCTGGAAGTCAGGGATGCTGAAGAGCACCTGTACCACAGAGTTGAGATAGCAGCTGTTCCCCAGGTTCCGGATTCCTGTGTAGCCAGGTCCAAATAGGGGCTTCAGTGGCACACCTGACTCCTGGATCAGCTCCCATTCGCCAATCCGCTGGTTCATATCTATCTCCAATTCCGTCATCGTCTTGTCTGTCTGTTCAAGGAAGGGCAATTCAGACTGGTGGAGGAGTTCAGCTTTGTATTTTCTACAGAGAACTCTTCCACAAGTAATGTATGGTGGTGCACACTTCTAATCCCAACACTCAGGAGGCTGAGGCAAGAGTATTACTGTGAGTTCGAAGCCAGCCTGGCTACATAAGTGAATTCAGGACCAGCCTGTATTATGAAGCAAGATCCTGTCTCAAAAAACCAAAAACTAAACCAAACCAACAACCAAAAAAAACCCCAAACAAAAAACTGCATCCTTGTCAGAAGTAGTAGCATACACATGTGATCCCAGTACTTGGGAGGCTGAAATAAGAGGAGTGGTGGGTTTGAAGCCATCCTGGGGTACACAGTGAGTTCCAAACCAGCCTGAACAACATAGTGTTCATGGCAGGACCCTGTCTCAAAAAAACAAACAAAACAACAACAACAAAAAAAACACAAATTTCTCTTAATTCATTAAAAAGGTTTGTGCTAATATTGTCTGTATCTTTGAGTAACTAATTTAAAGATAACAATATGTATAACCATTGCCACTCCAATATCTCTTCTACAGTCTAGAATAAAACCCAGCTGCAGTCCAAGATTTATGGAATTATGGACTCTATCAAGAGATGTACATTGGAGTATCATCCAGCCTAAGTTCTGGAAGAGTAGAAATAATTATTCCAGAGGCCTAAATGAAATGAGTGAGAGTCCATCTACTTGAAATCTCTCTCCCACTCTAAAGTTAACTCTTACTTACGATTTGGAGGAGCAGTTCCCCAGGAAAGGTGCCTGATCCTCTGGACTGGGCCAGAGTCTCCTGCTATAAATTACTATAGTGCAGTAACTTCCTTTTTGAGACAAAGGTCTCACAAGCTGGACTTGAACTCATTTATGTAGCCCAGGTTAGCTCATATGCTCATGACAGCCCTCCTGCCTCAGCTTCCTGAGTGCAGTACTATGATTAGAAGTATGCGCCACCATGCCTGGTGCACCCACCTCTCTTTTGCAGCACGTATCAAGTCTGCAGTTGTTGTTTTATTCTGACATGTGACTAATGCTTGTTTTTCTAGAATGTAAGTCTAGGAAAGCAAGGACCATACCTGTTTTATTCCCAATGACTAGCAATAGCAGGGATTCCACAGGATTTACTGAATAACTAATCAACTCTAGAAATTTCTTCAAGAGAGGCGTACAGATCTGGAGGACTGGATTAATTGTGGAAGGTCTCTGCAAAACCCTACCTTAGTCTTAGGCAAGGAAGTAGGGTCACAGGGGCCAGAACTAGAAGAATCTGAAGCTGATGGAGGTCTCACCTTCTGCATCTTCAGCATGTCAATTCCGAAGTGTGACAGGTGCTCGGCCAGGCTAGGGTCCAGAACCATGTCATCTTCATCATAGGAGTACACATCTAAAGCAGGAAGCAGACAGTGTCAGGGGACATGGCTCAGGACTGGCCTGGCCACTTATTCTACCTCCTGCCCAAAGGGACCTTCACTGGACAGAAGGATAGCCTCAATCAGTGACTGTCACCCTCTTGCCTCCCTTGAATATAGGTGATGTCACAAGTCCTATATAGGACAGAGTGTCAGGGAAGATGGGATGAGAGCTAGAATAAACTGCAACATAAGGTATACTGAAGTAAGACAGCCTTGAAAGAACATTGACTAAACAGATAATGATGGCTACTTCTAGGAAAGGGACTAATCCTTCTAGGAAAGGATTTGGAGGTACTGAAAATTTAGCTCATATGCAGTAGTTTTATGTTTTTATCAAGAGAATGTATTCATGTATTTTTCCTGTCACAGAAAATGAATAACAACCAAAATACATTGGTGGGGGCAAGCAGTACCAGCTCCATCAGGTGTGATGGTCCCCAGCTTGACAGCTAATGGGTAGCCTGTCTCCCTATAGTGTTCCACAGCATGGTTGTTGCCCCCACTGCCATCAAAGTAGCGTCGGCCACAGAGGATGGAGCCATCTGTCAGGTTCAGCCACAAATTCTCCCTCATGTCACACTTGGAGCACTTCCAGCCACTAACCCAGAGAGGAGAGGAGAAAATCAGTGCATCAGAGGTACATGGGTGTGGTGGTGAGAGGGGGTTCTGCAGGGTCCTGCCAGCCCAAGGGCATGCTCTTTTTTTTCTCCTGTTGCTTTTGATAGCCTTCACTTTGTCCTTCTCTCCCCCAAGTCTCTCTCCCTGTCCCTCTACCTACCCTCTCTCCCACCAGACCCCCTCTGCCTCAAAAGGTGGCCTTTTTGCCCTTTTTATGCAGGCTGTACCCAGAGATAGAGGAGTCAGGGCTCACCACGGAGGGATCCGAGCAGGGTTGTCCAACTGCTTGAGGTTGAAGGCATGCTTAGACACCTGCCGGACCTCTCCATCCCAGGCCTGCACCTCCTGCTTTCGGGAGGCCGAGTCAGCTGAGAGGAGAGCCTCCACTGCACTGGTCACCTGGGGGAAGCAGCAGATCAGACAGTACCTAACCTCCTCCTACCCGCCCCACCCCCTCGGTCTTCAGCTTTGCCAGTACTGCACAAGCCATTGCTACTCCTGCCTCTTCTGATCTAGAATCTTTCACAAGGTGAAAGACATTCCTACCCGATCTTGGACAATGTCAGGCAGTCCCCCCAAGCCATCCCGGGCAATCTCCAGATAGTCTGGCAAAATGACAATCTTCACATCCTCGTCATATTCAAACTTTTCCTCGGAGAGGTCAAACCCACCTTCAACACCTGGTGAGACAAGGAAGAGGGAGAATAGGACAACTGTGATAGTCAATGTTCATCCTCCAGTATAACACCTGATTTTGTCCCTTCTAGGGTGACCAATCAGGCCCTAGAACCTCTGAGAGTAAAACATAGTCTCTCAGGGAGAAAAACAGGACTGCAGTGGTGCTCACCAATAGCCAGCCGGGTGGGCTTCTTACGGGGCGGGTCTCCAGTGCCTGCAGTAGTGTCTTCTTCCTTCTGTAACAAACGGGAAAGGGTAGGATCAGCAATGAAACCCAGGAAAGGAGCAAATGGGGACAATGGAGGGAATGGAGTTATTAATCCCAGAATGGAATGATGCTAAAAAATATCTGTGCCACATTTTTTCTAGTACTGGTGAATGAATCCCAGGGCCTTTGCACTGAGCTATATTCCCCACGCTTTTTTTATTTTGAGACACAGTCTTGTTAAGTTGCCAAGATGCCCAGGCTGGGCTCAAACTTGTAATCACTACCTCAATGCTGAGATGATAGGAGTTAGTCACCATGTGGCAAGTTTCAATGACATAAATTAAAGTAAGGAGAAACTGAAAGCAACAAGGTGTCAGATAAAACAGACAGATTCCAAATGTGTATCCTATAGAATGCATCTGAATATACCCGCCTCTTCCTACCCCATGTTCCTACCGTAGGGCGCCGGGTCCGCCGGAGGTGCAGGTAAACACGCTGGCCTGTCTTGTTGAAATGTCTCTCCACATACTGCTTCCCAAAGCCCAGGAATGTGTTCATGCAGATGTAGAGGCCACCTTCAGACTCCTGCAGGGCACAAGGCATGGGAAGAAACACATGAGGATGAAGCCTGGTTTGGGAAAGCAAGAGCTTGGGAATCATAAACTACTGGCCTCTAGTGCTGGGAATAGAGTCATATGCATCACAGCACTGGCTCTTTGGAGCCAATTTAGCTTTTTGGAACCTGGAATTTAATATTCTCCTCCAGAGCTGGGGATTTAGCTCAGTGGCATAAGTGCCTACTGGGCAAGTACAAAGTCGTGAGTTCGATCCCCAGTACCAAAACAAAACAAAACAAAACAAAACAAAAAAAACACCTCAATTTCTTATGACTTTCCCAACAACCAGCAAGAACATCAGAAAACTGAACAATGTCTTCAATGTCTTTCAGTCATCATTCATCTTCCCTCTGCTCCTTTGGCCTTTGCAACCTAGCAATCACAATCAATCAGAGGACTCCCTTTAGTTTTTTTTTTTTTTTGAGAGGAGGTCTTACTATGTAGCCCAGGCTAGCATCTTCCTACATCAGCCTTCTGAGTGCTAGGATTACAGGTATGTACTTCCACACACTGCTTCACCTCTTCTGAGACTAAGAGATCCAGAAAGTAAATGGAGAACAAATACTAGGTTTCCAGTGCTAGGGATTACATTACGAGGGAAAAGAGGTCCTTTCTTGGGAGACACTGATCCCAGACCTGGGACTCCACACACAAACAATACCTCATGTCCATATTTCAGAAAATTTTCTGGACTAGAGGAACAGATTCAAGCACTAAACAGTATACCTAACCCTGAGATAGCCAACAGGCATCGCCTAGATAGTGGATCCCTGATCCAGAACCCTCTGTCTCCTGTCCTGCTGAGCCTGGCTCTAGGGAACAATGCCTTGTTTACAACTCACAGCTAGACTATCCCCAGTCTGGAAGGTCATCAAGTCCAGCATTCTACAGTGACCAGCCATAGCTTCCTCTCCCCTCCCCTTGGACCAATAAATAAGATTCCCACTGCAGTCCCATTAGCCTCCAACCTCAAAGCCACCACCCTCTTTGAACAATCAAGCAGGATCTTCTGAGTTAATTACCACACAATTACGGCAAAAGGACTGAGCAAGACAAGTGTCCACCCAGAATCACAGCTGAGAAGATGGGTTTACCCCAAAGCTGAGCAGGGCTAACAGTTCCTTGGCAACAGAGTGATGATAATGGTGAGAGAGGAGCTGGAGACAACGAATCTTGCCTTCAAGGCTTTGAGCAACAGGCATCTTTGTCCCAGAATAAAAGTCTCAGTGGCCTTGAAAATTTTCTCTGCTTGTAATACTAAAAACAGGGCACAATCTAAGGCAGCTCTTGGCCCTAGCTCTGTACCACTCCCTAGAATAGTGTGGACTGCAATCTTCATGAACAAATAGAGCATTTCTCACCAGAGAAATCAGGTAAGCTTTTTCTCCCATGAACTTGATTTTGCGGATACTCAAATATGCTAAGAGTTGGTTAGCAAAGCAACTAAGTCACATCAGAGATCTCTTGACTGGGAGTGAAAAATGGAAAATGTCAGAAAATTACAAAACCTCGTTTTGATTATTCAAAGCAGTCACTAAAGAGAGAGGCAAGATTCGAATGTAAAGACAGACCCACTGACTTCTACCATCTGCTGGCAATTAAGAAAAGTCTTTCCTCAGGGGAAGAAGATGTGAGCTCTTTAACTAGAAATAAGGGATGCTGGTTTCGCCATGGATTGGGAACCCTGGAGCACTGCTCAGATCAGTTGTTTTTCTACCTTTGCCAAAGCCAGACTTCAGAGAAGCAGCATATTGTCAGGCTCGGATCAAAGCCCAGCAAACCAGGCAAACCACAAATCTCAGTGAGAGCCCTGAACTGGGCCTCACATCATGCTGCTATACTGAACAGGGGTGATGCATTAATGAAGCCTTTACACTCTGACTTGCAATTTTGAGGCCATGAGCTGGTCTGGAACACTCTAGGCAAGGCCCAGCAGTGGCCTGAGGGAAGGGGTGGGGAGGGGGGCGGATCCCAACCAAGCTACTGCCCTCTCAGTTCAGGCCTGGAGGCTGGTCTTGGTTAAGGGTGACATAGGAAGGTAAAACCTCAGGAAGGGAGGTACAGGGTGGAGTCTGTAAAATGTGAAGCACGGGTGTGGGTGGTGGCTTTGTCTAACTAGGCAAAGAGTGGGAGCGAGATGGCAAGGGGGCCTTAGCATCCTCTCAGAAAGAAAATATCTTTCCGGGAAAACTTTAAAACGGGTTCTCTTCGCTCCCAGTGATAGGCAGGGTGAGGAAGGGTCTGCAACCATGGTTCACCTACAAGAGAAACAACTACAGCTTTCCTCTCCTTTTTCTCCCTCCCCACCATCATGACCCATCTCCTTGCCCCTGTCTCCATCAGCTGCGGATGGAGGCTGTCTATCGCGGTGTTCTTCATAACCAGTCTTCCGCCAGCTCAGTTGCAGACTACTGGCCGCCTAAGAATTGCCGTCCCCACCCTCCCAACCCCGGACCACAAGGGGGAGTCGGCCCCACTTCTCCCCTACGAGACTACAAAACCCAGAGAGCCACGCGCGACTAACAAGGCCGGCTCCCGACTCTCTCCGAAGTCCGCCTGGGGGATGTAGTCCATCTTCGGGCTGCAGCCCCGGGCTCCTACGGCCATTAGGGCAGCAAGCGACTACAAAGCCCACAGTGCTGCGCGGGACGGGCGCGCGCCTCTTGGGCGCGGCGGCTTCCGGGACTAGTAGTCACGCGAAGGCTCCAGCTAAAGGAGAGCAGCGGCGGAGAGGAGTGCGGGAAACTACAGGTTCCAGGGTGCACCGCGGGGAGGCGGCGGCGCGAGCCTCGCAGGCCCGGGCAGAATGACCAGGGTGATAGAAGGAAGTCCTGTTCGCTGCGGGCGTGAAAAAGGGGCTTACCGGTGTGTCGAAGGAAAAGGCGCACTCGTCTTTGTGGACCCGGTCGCCAGCCTTGGGGACCCGGATTGTTGGTAACACTGACAGCAGCGCCTCCTCGCTCAGCTCCGCCATGACACCGGCAGTAGCTCCTCCACACACGGCGGCTCTCACCGTTCTTAGTTCCCCACCCCTACTCTCCTGGCCAATGAACGCTGCTCATCGGGCGCATGCGCTGAATGCCTAACACGCGAAAATGGCAGTTGGACGCAGCCTGCCGAATAGTGCTCCGCCCCCTGCCCCACTCTCGCCCAACACCAATAAGAAGCATTCTTCATTCAATTGATGGCCAAAAGGACCAATCCCACTCTTCTAGGGGCGGAGCGCATATAGATCAGCCAGGTGGACTTCGTGGCAGCGGCTGCTCAGACTTGCGGACTCCTACAGTCCCTTCACGTGAAGGGAAGAAACTAACAATGGTTTAAACCTCTCGATTCCCGAAACTTTCCTGGGGTGTCATCGGTCGGAAAATAGAAGGGCAGTTATTTTCTTGGTATTTGAAAAAAGGCCGTCCAATGAAACGGAATTTAAGGTTTTGTGACTGACACCCACGCCAACCAGTAAGAATTAGTATTTCTCTCGCCTCAGGAAATCCATCACAACTCCCAATTGAATTGTACATACCAGCGTAATAATTCATGATTGTATTTTGTTTAATAAAATAGTTTGTATTTAACATTGGAGGTCTCAAAAGTGAAGATTAGTACTCCTCAAAATCTCGCGGCAAACAACTCACAGATACTGAACAAGTCTTACCACGTAGGCGTTATTCCCAGTCAAGGAATCCTCAAATCCATTGGCCCCGCAATCCTCATGATAGACAGCCTCTAAAACCAATGACTTTCCTCTCTTGAGGCGGGTCTTACGCAGTGGACCTATGGGAACCTACTTTGGCTTAGCCAATAGAGTCGGGGCAGGGGGCGTGGCGGGAAGTTTGAAACTCGTAATTTCGGGAGTTGATCCTCAAGCTGGTTTGCACTCACAGGTGGAGTTGGGGCCCGGTAGGTAATTTGAATACGCTAAGGAATAAATTAGAGAGCTCAGCAGACCCAGAATGAACATTTTGGAAACCATCAGTCGTTATTCCCGCAGAGGCCTCTGGGTCAGCGACCAGGAAGGTTCCTCAGCTGGAAACTGAGAAAGTCAGGTGGTCTGGGGTCACAGGTCGTACATGATCGCGGTAATAGCTAAGACCCGAGTCAGTTCTTATAGGCATCCTCTTCCCTGCCCTGCAGGCCCTGCCCCGACCCCTAGTAGAGATGGGCTCAGCCAAGAGCGTGCCAGCCACTCCATCGCGGCCTCCACCACATAACAAGCTTCTGGCTCGAGTAGCGGACCCTCGCTCGCCTAGTGCTGGCATCCAGCGCACTCCTATCCAGGTACTAAGGCCGGGATGGGGAAAACAGAAAACCTCGATTCTTGGGCTTCTGCCTAACCTGATAGTGAGGGCGCCACCACATCCCCAGCCCCACTGGAGTCCTATTTTCTGCATTCTTGATCTGCGGTGGGCTGAACACCTGAGGGTCTTAGTAACTTCCACCAGAAGTATGGAAAGAGAAGGCAGGACCCAGACTTGTTCTAACCTATGGTCCTGACAGGTAGAGAGCTCTCCACAAACAAGCCTGCCAGCCAGAGAAGAGCTAGAGGATCCTAAGCAGGCCCAGGACTCAGAAGATCCTCGCTCTCCTACCCTTGGCATTGCACGGACACCTATGAAGACCTGCAGTGTAGGTGAGTGTCAGCCTGGGAAATGCCAAGGAGGCTGTTCTTGGGTGGAGTCAGTGAAGCCATCCTCTCACAACTCTCCTTTTATTTTTTGTGGTGCTGGGGACAGAACCCAGGGCTTTCTGAATGCTAGGCAACTATCATGCTCTAAACTACACCCCAGCTCTCATTCTACTCTTCTCACTCCACTCACCTTGAATTCACTCAGGTTCCCCATCTCCTCACCCACCTGGGCGCAAATCCTAAGCTCCTGGATCCTCCTTGATGAATGATTTGTATAGAAGGTCACTGCTCACTTCAATTTCTTTCCTCTAGATTCTGAGAATCCACTGGTGAAACAACTGAGTGAAGTATTTGAGACTGAAGCCTCAAAATCAGATCTTTCCTCAGAGTCCATTCTGGCCCTGGGAGCAATTTTGTCTTCTAAACTGGACTTGTCTGTGGATACTGAGTTAATCCTGCAGGACCAGACAAAACCTTGGAACCAGACCAAGTTCCCCTCTAAACAGATGTTGTCCAAGGAGGAAGCTAGACAGCCCACTGAAACCCTCATGGCCATCCAGAGCTCAGACAAGTCTTCAAGAGACCTTGAGACTCCCAAATCTTCAGGTACAAAAATCCAAGAGCAAGGCGCAGAGAAGAGAGGCAATAATATCCATGGAAGAGTGTGGGGAGAATAAACTGTAAGCCGCCAGTGTTGAATCTTTGCTTTAACCACCCTAGGTTCTAAGCATAATAGACGGAAACAAAACAGCAAGGTACTAGGCAGATCTCCCCTCACCATCCTGCAGGATGACAACTCCCCTGGGACCCTGACACCACGACAGGTAAAGGGAGGGAGGGGGAAAGTCATCAGTAGCATATCCAACAGAGGGTGGGAGGCCCTTTGACCCAGATCTTCCCATGCCTGAACAGCACCCTTTCAGCCCCCCAATGCATATACCGCCTCCTTTTGCAGGGTAAGCGGCCTTCTCCGCTGAGTGACAATGTTAGGGAACTAAAGGAAGGAGCCACTCTTGGAACTGGACAACTTCTGAAAACTGGAGGGCGAGCACGGGAGCCAGTCCAGGACCATGACAAAGAAAATCAACACTTTCCTTTGGTAGAGAGCTAAGCCAAGTGGGGGCCAACCTGGACTCATGCAGGGTCTGGTGATTGTGTATCCTATGGGATCTTCTTGCCAGTGAGACTGGAAAAAGGCTTAATTTCTTTGACTTCTCTTAAGTTACTAACTCTGGGACTTAGAGCTTTATTGGGCTTTCGTTGTGTGTCATATGTATTTCTTATATATTAAAGGAAGTGGTTTGATTTTTTTTTTTTTTTTTTTTTTTTTTTTGTCTCTTTGAGTTAGGGTCTCTGTAGTTCAGGGTGGGCTTGAGCTCACTTTTAAGTCCAGGCTTGCCTTGAACTGTCAGTGATTTTCCTGCCTCAGCCTCCCAAGTGTTGGGATTACAGGTGTGTACCACCGTGCCTGCAGGAAGTCATTTTAAACACTGCTTTAAAAAGTTAGACCTGAGGTTTGCATGGGTCCTCTGTGTCTAGAATGGCAGCCTAGAGGGCTATATTCCCTAAAGGTCTCCTACCTCTGAGCCTCTTTTGCTTACACCTCTTAAACTGTGCTGTTCCCTGGGGCTCTGTCCTTGACTGTTTTCTCTTGTTCTGCCTACATGTAATTTAGGGCTTTAAATGTCATTTTCCTAATATTCTGGTAATTTCCAGGTCTCTCTCCGATCCTGATCCCTATCCAGCTACCCCAGAATTACTTCAAAGTCAGTTTGTCTAAAATTGAATGTATGATCTTTCCCTAAAAAGACATTACCCATCTCCTAGCTACTACCCTTGTGAATATCATCTACCCAGCTGCTCAGATCCAAACCATAACCATTGTGTCAAATCCTTCTCTCAGGCCAGAGGTGTAGCTCACTGGCACAAGTGCCTACCTGGTACGCTTAAGGTTGTGAGTTTGATCCCCAGTACCAAAAATAAAACCAAATTCTTCCTTCTCGCTGTCTCACATCTTAACAGTTGGTCATTAAATTGCTATGATTCTATATTTTTCCTATATCTTTGTTCATTGTTCTTGTGGTTTTGTTTTTGAGGCAAGATCTCACTCTGTAATTCAGGTTGGTCTTGAACTCATCTTGTAGCCCAGGCTGGTCTCAAACTCACAGTGATTCTCCTGCCTCAGCCTTCCAGGTTCTGGGATTACTGGCTTGTACCATCACCTAGCTGTCACTCTTGTATTTTTTGACAGTTGCTTCCTACCTCATCTCCAGGTTGTCAGTCTTGTCTTCTGTTTCACCAACCTACGGTTGCTGTCAGGGCAATCTTCCTGAGAAGCTTCATTGATCACATACTGCTCAGAACTCTTCAGGAGCCTCCCATTGCCCTTAAAATAGTCTGGACTGGTAGCCTGGCATTCAAGGCCTTGTACAACCTGAATCCTGCACACGCACATACCCACGCCCCATAGGCAGGCTGTAGTGAACTGCACATACATACCCCAGTTGCTGGCTAACTTCGAGTTTCCTGACCCAGCTCTGGCTTCCTCCTGACCCTTCTGTCTTCACTCTTCTGGATGCTTAATCATAGCACCTGAACACTTTCTTGCCCTTAAATGGGACTCAGATCTTTGGAAAAGAAGGGCATGGAAGCCAATCAGCACAGGGGTACCAAGGTGTTATACTTTATTTCAGGTGCTTCAAGAAAGAAACAAAAGGTTGAAAAGGAGAAAGCATGAAGGGAAAGGAGGCAGGAGCCTGAGGTGCCAGAGCTGTGATCACAGGGCTGAGTGGCTTGTACTTTCCAGGGACTGGGGCCTGGGCCTGCAAGGCGGGTGGGCCTGCAAAGGGCAGCTAAGGGATGGGCTGTCCTCGCTCATGCAGGAGAGACAGTAAGGAAGCCATGGGAGGAGATGGGGCAGCTCTTTGCCCCTGTGTCCCTGCTGCTGCCTCCCAAGGCAGACTTCTGTACTCCCCTTTTCCCTGCAAGGAGAAAGCTTATTGGGAAGGTCTCTGGGACAGAAGAGAACTTGAAAGGATTGGATATGGAGGGGCAGCTGAATGTTTTCATGCCTTCTGCCACCTTCCGCCTCCTGTTGCTGCCTCTTCAGTTCCAGATTTTGAGGAAGCTATCCCAGGAACCAGTGGCCACGGCCATCCCATCAGCCGTGACCCCCAGGCAGCTGACCCTGTTATCATGACCAGAAAGGATCCCTGAGGAAGAGAGAAAGAAATCACCCCATCTCTGTGTGCCGATTCAGAAATGTGTGTGGGCAGGAGGAGCTCTAGGCTGGTGGGCTTTCAGCTGCTAGAGGAGAAGAGGGCCTGGGAGGAGGCTGAGATCTCAAGGGAGGGTTCCTCCATCCTAACTTGGCTGGGGATAAGATGGGACAGACAAAATTGTTGGAAATGTCAGTGTGCTGTGAGAGAAGCCAGGGTCATCTTGATGGGTACAGGCAAATGGAAGGGCAATCCTTTTGTACAGGGATTTTGTTTCCAGATGAAGAAAGGGAAGCACAGAGTAGAGATTTGTGCAAAGGAACTAAATTAGGATTTGGATCCTGACTTTGGGCCCTGTAGCACCTGGCTTCTCTCAAGACGATGCCAGGCTATCTGCTCGGTCAGACTAGGCTGGGCCCAGGCCCTGGGGTACTCCAGATCTCCTGGATTCTGTTCCCACCCACAGCTTCCGCAGGCTGCCTTTTCCTAAAGTTCATGCCCCTGAAACTTCAGACACCAGGGCAGACAGAATACCAAGGTCCAGAGTTCTGGGGAGACCAGCAGGACATGGGGAGGGCTTCTTAGAGCTCTTCCATTTGAGGGTGCATGGCACTAGGTTGGAAAGCAAGGGCTGTGAGTTTTCAGAGGTAGAACTGTCCAGTCACTGAGGTCTGTGTTAGGAAGAGCTGGCAGGAGGAGATGGAACTGGAAGGGCAGGCAGGGCAGGTCCTTACCTACACGCTCACACTTCATGGAGTCCCAGATGTTACAGTTGAAGTCATCGTACCCTGCGAAGAGCAGGCGGCCACTGAGCGAGAAAGCCACAGATGTGATCCCGCAGATGATGCTCTCGTGGGCATAGGCAGTCAGCTCCTGGTCTGCCCGAAGGTCAAACAGGCGGCAGGAGGCATCGTCTGAGCCAGTACAGATGGCCTCTCCGTTAGGAAAGAACTGCAGTGTAGCAGGGAAAGGTGTTGGCTCAGACCTGGGGCATCTCAGCCTCTACCTGCCCCCTAGCTCTCTGATGGCTCAGGAGAAGCTGCTTCTCTCAGCTGCCTACCTGTCCCTCCCAGCCTGGGGTGAGAAGCAGCCATAGCCTGGCTCTTCACAGAGGACTCCTGTGGTATGCTGTTGGCTCCCCCCTCCCCCAAGTGCTCCCTAATATAATGCTGCAAGCAGAGGTGTCTTATGTTGAGGACTGTGGGCTGGTAGGCAGGTTCCATCTGCACAATCTCATCATGAACAACGTCCGATCAACTCAATTAGGGGAAAGTATAGACAGTTAATACTCTTCAAAAATACCAATATCATGGCAGGAAAATTGTTCTAGTTGTTTGGGTTTGTTTTGTTTGTTGAAGCAGAATCTCACTATGTAACCCAGACTGGCCTCAAACCCACAGGAATCCTCCTAGCCTCTCAAGTACTGGCATTACAGGCTTGTGCCACCCTGCCTGAGAATGATTCCATTTAGAGACTAAAAGAATGAGTCAAGGAGCCAGGCATGGAGGCACATTCCTATGATGCCAGCACTTGGGAAGCTAAGGCAGAAGGTTCATAAGTTCAAGCTCAACCTAAGCAAGTTGGTGACTTAGATCCTGCCTCAAACACAGAAATAAAGAAAAAGGGCTGGTGATATAGTTTAGTGTAAAGGCTCTGGATTCAATCCCCAGTAAAGAAAATAAAAACTAGCAAAGCAGGGCATGGCGAAGCATGCCTATAATCCTAACAGGAGGCTGAAGCAGAAAGATCATGTGAGTTCCGGGCCTGTCTGGGCTACAAAGGCCAGCCCAAACTGCATAGGGAGACCTTGTCAAGAAGACCCAAAAAACAAAACAAAAAAAACTAGCAAAGAAATGCAATGAATTGGGTCCTGGGCCAAAAAAAATCAAGCTTGGTGGTGCACACCTGTCATCCTAGCTACTCAGGCTGAGTTTCAAAGACAGGATAATAAAGGAAACAACAAAGTATTAACACTGAATCTGGGTGAAGGGTTCCTGGGAGGTTTTTTTGGTTAGTTTTGAAACTCGTCTAAGATGAAACAATTTTAGGTGAACACTTGAAAAGTAAAGGCTACAGGAGCCGTGGGAGGGGCCAGGGACACAGTCCTGGGGGTGAGGGGCAGCTCACACAGATGGCGTTGATGTCTGACTCGTGGCCAGTGAAGGTCTGACGGCACGTCCCCTCCCGCACATCCCAGAGCTTGGCGCTGGCATCACAGGCTCCCGAAATGAAGAGTTTGTAGTCAGGAGACACAGCCAAGCTCATGCAGTCACCAGTGTGTCCCACAAACACAGTCTTCTGCTGTCCTGTCTCGATGTCCCACAAGGCACTGCCAGGAGGGAACAAGGTAGTCCCAAGTACCCAGGCAGGACAGGACCACTTCTCCAACCTCAGCACTCACAGCCTCAGCCCTTACCATGTGGTGTCCCCAGAGCTGGTCACAATGTTGTTGTCATCCAGGAAGCGGCAGCAGGAGAGATAACCTGGTGGTGGTCACAAGGCCAATGCCCTGGTTGCAGGGCCACATCCCACTGGACCCCTCCGGCAGCAGAGAGGGTCTCACTCACCTGTGTGAGCAGAAAGCTCTCGGCTGACTTTGACATTGCCCTCGCGGGATTTGAGGCTGTAGATGGAACACATGTTGTCCAGCCCCCCACATGCCACGAAGTTCCCGGATGGGGCATAGGCACAGGTCATGACCCAGGAGGAGCGCAGCGGGATAGCATGCACCTGCCATGGAGGCAGGACCTTGGCTGAGCTCCCAGGCAGGCAGGCAGAGCAGCCAACAGAGTGCCATCCCAGAGGATGCGGCCAGGGAAGGTTGTTAGGGATAGGGCTGGTACCTTGTTGGTGGTGTAGGTGTCCCACACGATCAGTTTGCCATCTTGTGAGGCACTTACCAGCAGCCTGTGGAGAGTGTGCCCATGTCACCCATATCTCCTTGCCTCCCCCCCACCCCCAGCTCCTATCAAGCCTCACTTAGAGTCAGTGGCCCAGTGCATGGCATAGATCTTGGCTAGGTGCCCTCTTAGCGTCCGCCGTGTCCGCATCTGAACTCGTCCCACCACTTCTAAGCCAGACACCAGCTGCCAAGAAAGGGGGATTAGATGTCAAGAGTCCTCTATGGCTGCTGATCTGTACAAGTTCCTGATTAGCAGCAGGCCCCCTAGCCTTAGAGGAGTAACTCCCCTCTGCACTGATATGACTTAAAATTCTATGGGACATGGATGCCTGTGTAGCCAGTGGCTTGTTGGGGGTGTTCAGCAGTGTTCCTTGAGATTGGGGCTCCACTACATAAATATTCCTGCCTTGGTCAATGTCAGGCTGCCCCAGTTGCGTCACTGAATACCCACTTCGGAAGATGACACAGTTGACTTTCCCAAAGTGGTAGGAACTTGCTCGCTGATGCATGAGATCATAGCATGGCCAGTTCTAACTGGGTCTCCAGGTGCTACAACCCTAGACTGCACCTCCTGGAATGTATGGTCCCATGCCCTTTGATGCCAACAAGCAGAGATTTAGACGGAGCTCCAAAGTCAACCCTGGTGATTGCCATGACTATATTTGCTTTGTTATCTTGCGCAAGTTACTTAACATCTCTGAGCCTAAAGGTGCACAGTGAGGCTTACTACAGCACCTTCCTTACAGCAGTGACATAAAATATATTATGTGGATTATCCAATATATGAAATTATGTACCTCAGCAATTTAGCTCAGAGTCTAGCTCCTGCTAGTTGCTCCTGTTATTTGCATATGTAATCTGATCTTTACGCTTGTTATTAGCATGTTTAATCCAGTTTGAGATGGCTTCAGCTCCATTATTTTACGTACCGCTAAGAGAAAAATGCTACTATTATAATTGTAAGGTGCCATTCACTGTTGGGCGCGTCCTGATTTTAGAGGTGTCTGAATGTAAAGAAGTATGCATGCCAGAATCTATAAAATACAGCCTTAGACAACTATGACTACTAATCAGAATCCATAAAGGCTTCATGATTTACAACATAGATTCATTCCCTCCATCGTCACTGCTCTGGGAAGGGGCAGCATTGCTCTTGTTTTATGGACCAGGACTGAATGGACTAGGACTGATTCATGTCTGAATCTTCAGCATCCAATACAGTGCCTGGGCAAAGCAGATGTGGCTAACATTTGTTGAATGACTTCATTAAAGCTTTTCCTTATTCCAAGGACACACCTTGGAATAAGGTGATAGCAGTTCATCCCTGGTTAGGGAACTCCTGTCCCCTCCCTTCATGCCCGGCCTCGGGTGGGGACAGTAGGTCTCACCTCTGCCAGGGTGGTGTCAGCACAGGCTTTCCTGGCATCCTGTGGAGAAAGCAGACATCAGGGGTGGCTATGGGGGGGCAGGGTAGGGGATGTGGTGTGTGGGCCCGAGGGTGGCAGGATGGGACTCTGGGGCTTGGGGGCCTCAAATATGTGATCCAGGTCAGAGAGGTCTAGTCACTGCTACATCAGAGGTCTCTAAAGTGTCTCAGCAAACCCAGCCCTTCCCTCTAGGCCACACGCCCTCTTGTCCTCAGTTCTGTTCTGGGGTCCCCAACGGGAGGGTTCTGGGGTTACTGCAATCTGCTTCTTGAGCTGCTCCGCCTCCTGCCTCAGCTGCTCCATCTCCCCCATGGCTGATAGGTTGAGAGGTAGCTCCGGCTCCTGCCAGGAACACAAGGTAAATTTTGGGGAGCCTCCACCAAGCCAAGTTTTTGTCCTCTACCACCCACACCCAACTCCTGAGGGCTGGAGCCCACCAGAGACACAGAAGTGATGGGGGGGGGTGCCTGCCTGAACTCCCACCCAGATCAGACCCTTCAAATTGGTGTCTGGTGCACCCAGCCCCAGCCCTGCCTGTGCCCACCCTGTGGCTCCCAAGCTCAGAGGGCAGAGCCTGGGCAGCTCCCTCTTACTTGGGCGCTGACTGGATCTCTCCCAGGTTTCCAGCTTTGGATCCCAGGCGCCTCCTCGCTCCCTCAGCAGTGATGCCTGCCTGTCACCTGCCCCAGCTCTGCCGCCAGAGGAGCTGGCCTGGCCTGGCCCTGGTTGGGGGGGGGGCACTGACAGGCAAGGGTAGGGCCAGGGAGGACGACGACGTCAGGCAAATGAAATCGGCTGGCAGGGGTGGGGGTGAGGCCAGGGAGGGAGGAGGTATGTGGTTCTAGAAACTTGGGCCAGCTTAGAGGAGGGGTGGGGGCAGGAGAGTGCACTAGAGACAGGAGCGGGCCCCACACAGGGCCAGGGGGGTGGAGGGGGATATAGGGTCCCTCCCTGGTCAGTCTGCAGGCAGAGATAAGAGCATCAGACCATGGATCAGAGCAAAGCTGTGAGGATTAAGGCTTGGGGTTGGGGAGGGAACAGAGGAGCAGTCCCCTGGGATGGCCCCAGCCCCTGGCCCCCACCTGTGGGCATGATCTTGGTGATCAGGGCCTGCTCAGCAACCAGGCCAGGAGCCAGGGTATAAGGGCAATCAATGGCCCTTCTCTCAAAACCCCAAACTGTATTCCCTAACTGAGTAGTGAGGGAAGAGCTCTGTGAATCTGGGAGGGTGCAGGCAGGAGCTGAGATTAGAAGGGACTGATCTGGATAATCCTTGTTGACAAACCCCAACCAGCTGCCCCTGGCCTGATCCTGGGTGGGGGAATCAGACACAGGGGTCTGGCCTACTCCTTGGCCCAGTGACTCCTGGGGCCTCACAGCCTGTGAAAGCAGGAGACAGAGGATAGGCTGCCCCAACTCAGCCTTGTACAGTGGGGGAAGGCAGAGCTCAGAATGGAGGCCCAAGGAGCAGCTGGTGGGGGCTCAGGCCCATTTGCATGAGGGAGCAGGTGGCAGAGATTTCCCTGACAAATCACAGGCTCTCACTGCCCTGCCTCTGGGAGGCCCACAGACACCTGTCTCCTCCCTGGCCAGCCTCAGCCAACTCCACCTTCAGCCCCACAGATACTGTGACACATCAGACAGGGCCTCTGGCCAGGGATCCAGGGGTCTTCACATCCTTTATTGCACAGGTGGGGAGGGAAGACACAGCACCCTTATCCTGTGGAAAGCAGTCAGCCTCCAGCCCTGGCCACTGCTTTTCAAAGAGGCATAGTGTCCTTTGTGTGTCCCAGAGCTGCAGGTCCATCGGCTGGGGCCAGGCCCCACTCCCAGGTTTGGTGAGTGCCCTAAGTCCAGGCTGGTGCCCGGTGGATCCCAAGTGGGAGAACACAGGGACAGTGAGCTCATGTTCAGCTCCTGACATCACACAGGAACTTCTCGGGGTCCTTTCCTGAGCCAGGTGGCCACACTCCCAAGGCACACTCACAGCTCTTCTCGAACCCGAAGTGCTTTCCCAGCTTTATCGTGGGACCGCTGGGGCTTGCGGCTGGGGGGCTCTGGGGCAGGGTCCTTGCTGGGGGTTTCCTCTTCCTCTTCCTCCTCCTCCTCTTCCTCCTGCTCAGGCTCCCGAAGCAGCTCTTTGGCTTCTGCCCATTCCTGGGGAGGAGGGAGGAGGAGTGTGTCCCAGTCCCTGGGCCCTCTCAGTCCTCAGGAGAACCACACCCCCCCCCCACATTCCACTCTTCCTTACCTGCTCCCGGTGCTCTGGTGCCCACGTATGCCACAGTGCCAGGGCACAGCGCCGCCCACGTGTCACAGCCCATACGCCATGAGGGTTCTCCACACCAGAGCTGAAGGCTACTAGGCGCCCACAGCGAGGACGAACCTGGGCCTGGGGGGCCAGCAGGCTTAGTTCCAGCGACAAAGAATGGCCACCCCTTCCAGGCAGCTCTTTTTTTTCACTTCTGTCTTAATTCTACTATTATTCTGATTTCCCGGGAAATCAACCTCGACTTGGGGAGCACAAATGGTTCCCTGAGATGAGAGGAGCTGGAGTCCAAGCTGGGAACTAGGAGCCATCAGTGGCTGGAAGATCACAAGTGAGACCCTGAGCCTAAACTAGTGAGACCCTGTCTCAAAGCAAACAAACAAACAAAACAAAACACCCAAATCCAAACAAAACCCTTAAACTACTTACTCGAGGACTGGTGGAACACTTTCCTAGATACACAAGACTTTGGGATCAATCCCCAGCATTAAAATAAATAAGTACTATTATCATCACCCCGTTTAGGAAACTGAACCACAGGAAGGTTACAAGCCAAAAACCTGGCCTCCATGCTAGCATCTGCACACTAGCCACCATACTGGGAGAAGAACGGACTGTTTTTTTGGTTTTTATTTTTTATTTATTTATTTATTTGTCTTTTTCCTTTTTATTGGTACCGGGGATCGAACTCACGACTGCCTGCTTACAAGGCAGGCGTTTATGCCGCTGAGCTAAACCTCCAGTCCCAATTTTTTGTTTTTTAATACTGGGAATCAATCTCACCACTTCATGTTTGCCAGGCAGGTTCTGTACTGCTGAGTTATATCCCTGGCTCCAAGGACTGTTTGTTTTGTTTTAATTTCGTCAAATCCTTAAAATAAGGACATGATTTCAGAGGGATCCAGGCTATGCTTCACTCACCTTCCATTTCTGTTTTTTTGTTTTTTGTTTTTTTTTTTTTAATTTTTGACAGTCTTGCTATGGTGCCCAGGTTGGCCTCTAACTCCTGGGCTCAAGAGATCCTCCTGCCTCACCCTCCTGAGCCACTGGGATTACAGGCAAGTGCCACATATACATTCCCCTTTGGGAGAAGAGGTGAACCTGGAAGGCAGAGTCTTCAGGCCACTTAGCGAGCTACTACGGGGACACAATTAAGTTCTGCCAAAAAAGCCCTGAACCTATCAAGGTGGCAGGAAGCCCTGGAGAAGCAGGCGGGGAAGGGTTATGGCGACCCAGTAATTTCCCTGGATTTGCCTCCGAGAACCTTCTGTTTTGAATTCTGACCCCACAGCTGGGTCTGGTATCATCCCAATCCCTTCCATTGCCTACCGTGACAGTGAGGGCATTCGGCTGGGTGAAGAACAGGTCCCCGCCTTGGAAATCATCATTGAGGTAGAGGAGTCCACTGGGGAGGGAAGAGCACAGGAGGCAGTGGAGCCCACCCAGGGCTGGGCAGCTGTGGGGTGGTGACCTTTGCATGTCCCTCTACCTGCACCCACCTGTAGTCTCGGTAGGTGTAGGCGGGAGGCTCCCGCCAGCACTCTCCGGAGTCTGGATCCAGGATGCAGTTGTCCGCATGCACGGGGTGGCTCAGGTCCATGCGCTGCTCCTGCTCTCCTGAGCACATGCCAAGGGGTCTGGTGAGACCTCTGCATCCCTGCCCACCTGCCACCCCACAACTCACACCACCCACACCATCCACAAGCCCCCTGTGGCTCCTGGAGTCACAGAGCAGCCAGTCCCTACTGGTCAAGGGAATTGAGTCTTACTGGACTGAAAGGTTGGGTTGCTGGCCAGTGCAGTGCCTAGCAGTATGGGGAGGCATGCGGGGACCCTAAGTAGTTACCTTCGATGGCACTGCGGCACACCAGGTGGGTGAAGGAAAGATGCAGAGGCCGTTCCGGGGAAAAGTAGGCCTGGGTGAGGGTCCGCACCCGCTCACTCACCTCCAGAAGCAGCTTAGCACCCTGACTCCCCACAGTGCCAGCCCGGGCCAGCTACAGAGCAGAAGGCAGAGCAGGGAAGGAGGGAGCAATGGCAAATGTCCCAGCTTCTCCCCTGCCCTACCTCCTCTGCTCTCTACCCACGCCCATCCTCACTGAGCCAACACCGCAGGTCCCCAGGTCCTTGAACACCCACTTTCTCAACCCTGGCCTAGCTCTCAGGTAGTCCTGGGCGTGGGAAAGTCCTTCCTCAGAGGCCGAGGCCCTGGTGCAAGTCTCCTGCATACCCTCTTCTCCAGCCCAGGCGCAATACCTCCTCTCACCTGTGCAGCCTTGAGCACTGTGAGCCCCTCAAAGTGTTCATGGGGGGTGTGAGGGGAACGGCGACCACGGTAGCCGGACCTGGCTCCAGCCCCAGCTGCATCCTGGGTAGAAAGGGAATTCACATGGAGTTTCTCTTCCTGGCCTTCATCACAGCCACAGGCCTACAGAACCCTTCCTCTAGCCTTTCCACTCCCTAGAAGAGGCTGAAATTCCCAGAGTTCTCTTGAGGTTCCTATTCCTGAGCCGTAGGCCCTCCTGAGAGAGCAACTAGAGTCCCGGCTGCCTGCACTGTCATTCTCAGGAAAGGCCTGGAATCCCACTCACCAAGGACACTGCATGTGCGTGGAACTCAGGAAAGGGAACACTAAGAGAGCAGGGGAGAGAGAGACAGAGCTGGGAACCAGAAGGGCTTGTCACTCGTCTCCATGGACTCAGAAATAGAGGCATCTTTATGGAAACAGGACCCCAGAAGGAAACCAAACAGGCAGGCCCAGTCCAGGCAAAAAACTGACTCTACATGTTCTGGGGACCTCCTGGTCCACAGCCTCTTAATGCTGAGTCCTAATCACCAAGTACCTACACAACAATGCTTATCATCTAGGGGTCTCCCACAACTTGGAGTGTATATAACTGGGGCCCTTCCCTTTTCTGACATCCATTTTTCTGTCCATTTTTCAAATCTCAAGTTTAAATACCTTGCTACCCCTTACAGACCTCATCTCCAAGGACCCTACCATCTCACCCAAGCCATCTAATCTTCATTTATTTATCTTTGTGTTGCTAAGGATGAAGCCAGGACCTCAAGCACACCAGGTAAGTGATGTACCACTGAGTCACATTCCCTGTCCATACCTTCTATTCAATAGATTCAATTCATCTAACACATCTGTGCTGATAATCTACTATGTACCAGGCACTGTTTCAGGAATCAAGAATCAGGAATCAATAAATGTGAAGGAAAGGTCCCTGCACTATGACATTTTGATTTATTTATTTAGTGGCATTAGGGATAAAACCCACGGGTGGCTTTACCACTGAGCTATATCTCCACCCTTTTCATTTTTTGATTTTGCGACAGCATTTTGTTAAATTACCAGCTTGGCCCAGAACTTGTGATCTTCCTGCCTCAGCTTCCTGAATATCTGGGTTTATAGGCCTGTATCACAGAACATACCTAGGATTTATATTTTAAGTTGATAAAAATAAATAAACGCATCAGACCAATTCAGAGGGCGATAAAGTGCCACAAAGATAATTAAAACAGTGCTACAACCTTGAGAGTCCCAGCCAGAGGCTGGAGGTGACCGCAGTTAAGTCAGAGGAAACAGCAGGGCAAGAGTGTGGAAGTTAGAGCGAGTTCAGTATGAGCACAGAACAGGAAGAAGGCGTGATGTTTGGGAGTTACCCTTACTTTCTCTACTCATCATCTTCCACCCCAGCTTGTCCCCCCTCCTTTTTTTTGTCTTGTCTTTTTGAGACAGAGTCTCACTGTGCAGTTCAGGCTGGCCTTGAGCTCACTTTGTAGCCTAGCCTAGTCTCACACTCACCACGGTCCTCCTGCCTCAGCCTCCCGAGTGCTGGGATTACGGGCATGAGCCACCATGCCCGGTTCTCTTTTCTTTTTTATAGACATGGTCTCCCTAGCAATCTAGGCTAGCCTAGTTGTTATGTTGCCCAGGCTAGCCTGAAACTTGTGATCTTCCTGCCTCTGCCTTCCAAGCACAGGGATTACAGGCTTGTACTCCCACATCTGCTCTTTTTTTATTTTCTAAGTATATTTCTCATCTGTTCAGTCTTCCTTCCAGTGAGATGAGCACCTAACAGAATCACAAAGCGGAATCACTCCCTTTTGCACACCACCACTAGAAGGAGCTACTGCTCCTACACAAAACTGACTCCAGACTTACACTTGGAGGTTTTACAGAGGAACTCGCAAGTCACCC